AAAAGAGAAATATGTTTAGCATATTTTGCATTCTGAACAGGGGGGGCCTAGCCCAGCCTTTCTCAATAAGGCTTGCCAAGTCCCGCCAAAACCACAATGAAAAACAAGGGAAGAAATAAATAGTAGAAATAAAAAGAAAAAAAGAGGTTCGGCTGGGCCGGCCTTGGCCTTATCCAGTATTTGGGCCACAAAAAGCGACGCTTTTTTAGGTCTGGCCCAAGCGGGCTGGGCCTGGGCGCCCCTCCCATTGCCAGCCCTTAGTGAATGGTAAGAGACCATGCACGACACATAGAACGTGGGCAACCGGCAAGAAAAACTGTCAAAAGAGTAGTTTTTAGAGAGAGAGAGAGAGAGATTACTTGACTGTAACATAGCTCACAAGGTTCTCTGTGGTCCACTGATGGGGAAACACAATGGATTGGAGTTGAGCCTGTCTCTTTTCCAATACAAACTGCAAAATATTTAGGAGTTGGGCATATGTCCCACTCTTCTGGCTCCATCTCTGAAGGTCTAAGTGCTTCCAACAAAATGGATCAGTTGAGGCATGATACCAAGACCTACAAACCAAAGGCACTCCACTCAATCGATCATTTTCATCCAACTTTTGGAAGATGGAAACTAGAATATCTCTCTCTAGACTTGCCCAATCCACATCACAAGTTTTGCTTTCTCTATCCATCTTCTTTCTAGAGAGAGAAAGAGAACTAGAGAGAGAAAGGGGACCTTGCTTTTTAGAACCCTTATGGAGACACGAGAGAGAGTGAGAGAAGACTGAGGGGAGAGACACATAGAGATATGAGGCCTTGTTATAGAGAGAAACAAGAGAGAGAAATATTTGTCAAAAATTCAGAGTACTAAAAGTCTCCTTACCTTTTTTGGGCAAGACTTATCCGCTTGGTATATATGTCAATACTACATTAATGAGGAGATATCTCTTAAAATTTAAGAAGAAATATTTGTAAAAAATTCAGAGTACTAAAAGTCTCCTTACCTTTTTTTGGGCAAGACTTATCCGCTTGTTATATATGTCTATGCTACATTAATGAGAAGATATCTCTTAAAATTTAAAAAGATACTATTGAAGAGAGATCTTAAAATTTAGAAAAATATTAGATATGCCATAAGAGAGAGAAAAAAAAGTTCTCTTTTAATTAATTTATTTATAAAAATTGCTTGTGGGTTAAAACATTTTAACGTGTTATTTAAATATTTATAAAAAAATGCCATGATTTTTTTTAGGATATATTTTAACTGAGTTGAGTATTACTACTATACTTACTTAGTGTATTTTTTATTAGTACTTTAAATTAAAATTATCACTTTGCCGATTTTTTTGCCTTATTTTTCCTTCAATATTATTGTATCTAGAAAATGTTATGTTTCTATATTTGATGATCGATGCTTTTTATCCCGTGAAACACACGCTAGTGATAATTTTTTGCAAAATTGAAAAAATTGGGATTAATTACTTGTCATGATAGTGCAAATTTATTAGCATTCACATGCCAGCCAAATTGTCGAAGGAATCTAAACACTTTATTTTTTTTGTCATTTCGTCTTTTAGCCAAAATTTGAAAATTTGGAATTAAATGTTAGGCCAGGGAATTTGTTCATATAAATGGGACACTTTTATTATCTTGTTACCATAGTTGTCGAAAGGTATTATACTCTTGCGGGAGGATATTGTTCGTCTACTCCCTGAGGTAAAAACTTATGTAGGATTAATTTTGGGGAAACAACCTCTTCAACCAATATAAATAACTTCAATAGAAAAAAAATTCCTAACTGTACCTTCCATGTACTTGAAAAAAAATAATATTCACGATTGAATAGAAAGTGTTTAATTTTTAGAAGGTGAGATTTAAGTGTTAGAAAACTTAAAATTCAAAATTGTTTCTGTTCAGAATAATTATCTAGTGATTCTTAAGTAGTTGCCAAAGTAAAAAAATCCTCCCAATTAGGTCTTCCAAGTGAGGGATTAAGTGTACACTATGATCATGCGGTAGCCTCCTACTTGTTGTAGGAGGCTACAACCTTAAATAATTAAAATAAGGTGTACCTTCAAACTATCTACATGCCGTGAACAGTCTGCCAGCTCCACTAAAAAATCGTTTAAATCAAACAAATCTAAAAAGGCTATAAAATATTAAAAATAGACATTGTAGATCTAAAAAAGCATGAAAATCTTGCAAATAGATTGGGCCCTGAACAATCTGCCAACTCCACTCAAACTCGCCCGTGTTACCAAGCTTGGGCTAGAGCCTAGGCCAGGCCCGAACCAAGTTTAAAAACTTGTTTTATTAGTAAAAAAGAAACGAATATTGCTACTGAGAAAAATGGAGAACATTTACAAAAGAAGAGAATAACACAAGTCACTTCAACCTTCTACAGTTGACAAGAAATGGCTGTGATGAATTTTCAGCCATCAAAATGAACATTGGGTGAGGCGAAGAAATGGTTCACATAAATTGTCCATTCTTTACATTAGACCAACGTTTTGAGAATGAAGACAGAGCTGAGTATCTCAACTAGGCAAAATAAAAATAAAAAAAATGAAAACACATATATAAATTTTTAAAAATAAAGAATTTGATTTGTAATGGATGTTTACATAGGGAAAATTGCTTAAAATAAATATTTTAAGAAAAGTTAGACCGGGGTAAAGTGCCTAAAAAGGGATTTTAAGCAAATTTTCCTTTTAAATATTCTTTATATTATAGTAAATATTAAAAATTATTTTGATCATTAATACTCACTTTTATATTTTTCTATTTTTTTTAGAAAATTTTAAAAATAGCCATTGGAAAATATAAAATAGTTTAAAATCTATTATATTCATTAATTTTCAACTTCATTTGAATATGTATTGTTTTAATCATTCTTTATTTGTTTTTCATATTTTAGTAGATTTTTTTTTTGATTTTTTTTTTCAACACTTTTTTGACCGCCCGAGACTTGCCTGGTTAGAGGGATTGAATTGGCCGATTTACCGATTAGGCTAGTTAAACCAAATCTAAGCCCATGTCCAGTTAACCGTTTCGATTCGATTTTACGAATTTGCAAACACTGCATCCATATTTAAGATGGATACTTTATACCTCTGGACGCATATGGCAGACATGAAAGAATTATTCTTATATAAGACATGTTAGAAACAATTATCGGCACTAAAATCTAATGACGTTCTTAATATGCACAGTAATCCTTTGACACTCGATTAGACCCATCCCCACTTGGGTCAGGCCTAGGCCACAACGCTAGTTTAGGCTCGAGCCGACCTATATGGGGTAACCCTGACTTGGGCTTGGACCATCATGGCGATCACTAAATTTACCAAGGATTACATAATGAAAAAAGTTTATATAAATCTTATAATGTAGAACTATGGATGCACTTCAAAAATCCATCGGAAAAAGTTGTTTTCATGTTGAAAAACCTTTTGATTGATCATCTCGACATCGAGATGTATCACCATAAAAAATAAAAAGATTTTAAGTCTCAAAAATAGTGTATTTTACAACATATTATTTACACCGTCCATTTTCAAGATTTTCATATGTTTATAGATCTACTTGATTTTAACTATTTTTAAAATTTAATTTTATAATTAGATATAAAAATAGATTTTAAGATAATCCTAATAACATTTTATATAAAAATTATATACCATGATAAAATTTGAAAGTGCACCTTACCTCTACAGCTACGGTTATTGCTATGGATGCATTCGTATGCCAACTGCACCCTTCCATAATTACTCTACAATATGAGAACCGCGTTACCCGTTAATCACACTCCCTAACTACACTCTACAGCATCCAATCCAAGGTAGTCCCGCAGTCCCACGTAACCAAATCTGCGGGACTTTTCATTATCTCCCGCAGGATCTGTAACTTAGGGTTAAGGGGTTTAGAGCTTTGCGAGTATCTCTTTGTAGTGAAGTACCTGTGTTAATTCGGATTTTGGGTTTGGGTCTGATGGTTCACAATTCTACGTGCTTTCATCATGGATTTCTCCAAATCCTTGGTTTCCTTTTCCCTAAAAACCAGTTGTAGAATAAATAATTGTCTCAGAAGCCCTCTGAGACTGAAATCTCTTTGAATTCTCCCGCAAATTAGGGTTTTTAGGGTTTGACTGGTTTTGTATTTTCACTGATAATGAATTTAACCAATTCCATGCTTTTTTCAATCAAGAGTAACCTTAGAAGCGCTAGTTTGAAAGCGCTCTGCAATCTCAGGTACATTTTCTTAAGAAGTTACAGGGATGCTTGTCCTCAGAGAAAGCAGGTAGGATCAAATCTAGGGCTTGTGTTAAATGAAGTTGCAGATATTCAAGCCATAAAGCGATCTGGGCAAGAAGAAGAAGAGGATGAAGATGATTTAGAAGAAGTGAAAGGCCTGATCGGTGATTTTCCATTTGAAGCCAATAGAGTTGCAGAGATTAGTCGTCTATGGCCGGAATGGTTGGAGCTTATGGATCTTCTCTATGAAAAAGGCTATATCATGGGGAATTCTGGTTCTAACAAGAATGAATTTGGCGATTCAAAGAACGTTTTTGGAGACTCAAATAGGGTTCGAACTGCTTGCCTTAATCTTGCAAGGGATCGTTACGATATCATGAGGTAATGGAAATTCTGAAGAATATTTGCACAATTTCTATTCTTAAATATTTAATTGTTCTTGGCATTTTGCCTGCTTCTTTTTCTTTTTCGTTTTCGTTTTTTCTGTGTACTAATTTCTGCCGCTTTAAAAAAATATATATACTAGCAAAACCCCCTCCTTTTTTATATATATAATTTTTACACAGTTATGTAGCTGAAGTCCGCATGCCTTTGTTTTTATAACTTTTTGTATTTCTCGTTTTTATGCTTTGTGTGATTGGCATGGTTTTCTTTATTTTTAGCTGTTTTGGTTTCCTGAAATAGATAATAGTAATTGATTTTGATTTTGTGGTGAATTATTTATTCATCAAATTAATTGCTTGTTTGTGTTTTCTTTATTCTCCTGCATTACTTTTTTAACTGTTTTGTGCGTTCAATGTTTTTATCTGTATGTTTTCTTGAACTTACGTATTGCCGAACTCAGCAACTGCGGAATGACTGAATGCTCACTTTAGGTTTTCTATTTGATTTTGTTTTACTTGATTCATGGGATGCATCATTGGGAACTTTATTTAGGATCATGAGTGTCAGAGCTGTTTCTGTTTATGCAATGAAAGATTGTGGTGTTATATGATGGAGTGGGGGACGAAATGTCAAAAAAACATAGTTAACAAAGTAAATAAGAAATGTGGGGAGGAAACACCAAAACAAAAGAAAGGTAAGAACGGGAAAAAAGAAAAAAGAAAAAACAAAGTAAGAGACTGAAATTTCAAATTTTTGAAGAAAATGGGGCTCTTGTACGTGTCCTAACTCTAAAGATGCTTGAATGTGATCTCTTCAACTTATATCTTTTGTAAAAAAATGAATGGCTGCAATGGAAGTGCATTTGACACCCAAAAATGTCTAATGGTTGTGATGCAATTAAGGGAAATGAATACTCAGTCCCCAATAATCTCAACGGTGTACAAGAAAAAGTCAAAAAGTGAAAGATAAAGGAAAAACGGTTAACTCATAAAGTCAAGATCTCAATGAAAGACATGCATCTCTGACTAATGGCAGTTATAGTTTTTTTCTGGTACAGTAGTTCACTTGATAGATCAATATTGAGTTTGGAAGTATACAAGATTCTATTCAAATACTGTTCTTAGTAATCCAATAACTCTTTTGTTTTTTGTATACCCAAAAAAAAAAACTCTTTTGTTTTGTACTTTTTGAATGATAATCATTGTATTTCATACTTCATGTGACATCTGTCCTGCTGTTCTCATTTTGACTGATACCTGAAGGTAGAGATGCATAACTTTCTAAGTATGTCTTTCGAGCTGTAACCAGGCAAGCCCAAATCAATCATTCTTTGAATTTTATTTGTGCATTGGACCATTTTGCTAGCACCATCAAATTCAGAATGTAATTCCATTGTTTCTTTTTGTTAATTTTTTAATAAGTAACGTCTGTCTTGTTGATCGAATGTAATTTTATTGTTACTTTGAAGAATTATGGTTCTAGAATTTACCCTAGGTGTTAACACGAGAGCATGATCTTACTTATCAGAAAAGGAAAAAAATTGAGGTCATGGTATTTATTGAAAAGAAAATCTGTGGCAATATGAAGTTCTTGAGAATAGTGTACTTGTTATCCTGTTCCACTAATTTGAGATATCATCAATTTACCACCTTTAATTTAATATCTCATCCTCTTTGTGTAAACATCGAGTTGGCCGGATTTTTAATCACAGTAAATTTTTTGATAAATCTGGATTGTAGAACGAATTGTTTTTACAGTTATCAGGAAAAGAACTCAGTTTATAACCGTGTGGCTGATCCTATCTGCTTTGGCCCTCTGCCTATCTTTTGCTGCATTTTAATTATCAGGGCATCTTTGTCTTTCTCTCAGATACTTGTCTCGGAAAGACATTTATGCGATTGCTGCATGTGGATGCCCTAGCTTGGACAGGAAAGTCGTCAACTCAGGAAAGCGCTTGAGGGCATATGTGGGCATTGATGAAGGAGATGTAGGTACAAGAGTTTTAAGAGTCCCACTTTATTTTTTATGGGTTCTTTTCATTTACCAATTGAGCTATGGAAACCCCTAGGTCCCTAGTCCATTTGGGTCATCACCATTCAGTCAAGTTATGGGTGCTGGTGGAGAGAGGGGGGGAACCATTTTCGGTGACAGGAGAGGCAGGGAGATTTTTGCCAAGGGCGCAACGAAACTTCACCCACGATTCATTTTTGATGATCAATCAGGAGGGAGTGGGCGGGCCACATGCCCTATTCTACTTTATGTCAATGATAGCCCATCATTTCACTAAATCATACGTATCAGGATCTCCCAATTAAGGCGGCGATCCCGCTCCAAGATCACGATCTGGCAGTCCTTTGTCAGGATCTCCATGGGATCTCAAGCCCTAGTAATTGGAATCTTCTGCCAAACTTGCTACATCATAATGATTGCATCGAGCCATAAACTACATCACGATGCTATAACTGCATCAATTTGTGCTTTATAATAATATAATTGAATTATAATAAATTAATAATTGCATGTAAACTTTACCTCAAAATAAATAAATTAATAATTGCAGTTTTAAAATTTTAATATTTTTTATTAATATTTTTATTTGTTAATACTAATATTGTAGAATGATTCAATTTTTTTTAAATTTTATTAATATTTCTATTTTTAAAGAAATTTATTTATATGTTAATAAATTGTACATGATGCACTCCCGACCTAGGGAGCTCTACATGTGTCAATCTGTTGCTCCCACCCACACCCCCGCCCCTACTCCAAGCATCTATGCACTGAATGGTGATGAGCGACGAACCCAGTAGACTATTTTTTCTAGTAACCTATAGTTTGCTGGAGTATTGTCTATGTTTCCTTTAGTCTATTGATTAATGCCGATAAGATCTTCTAAATTATATTTATGATCGAAGATTCATTTTCCATCTTTCGAAGAGTTTTGAGAGTGTTAACACATCAAAACATCTGATTAGGCTTGCAGCTCCTGCAGTTTAAGGGGATCGTGTGAGAGAGCATATGTGAAGGCACGTGAAAATGAAGGTGGGCGAACTGTCGATGTCATGCGCATCCTTTTGACATATGGTCTAGAACCCATTACAGGGTCTGTGGAGAACAAGCCATGCCTGAACAACACCGTGAGAGCATCTGTTAGGAGGCTGCTCAAGGAAATGGTAGTTTCAAGTGCCAAGGAACCTGAACCTGATGCTTCAGAGTCCAAGCATTCAGATCATCAAAGAGTTCCTAAAGCCCAAGTCAATGCTCTATTAAAGCAAGGGGACTGGATTTGCCCCAAGTAATCTTCTCAAACAACATCTATTAAGTTTCAATTTCCTTTTCCTTTTGCCTAATTATATTCATGTTCTATCGTGATCATTATGCTTCAAGCTTGCTGATTAAAACCAACCTCAAGGCTTTATTAAAGAGAGGGGACTGGATTCGTCCAAATTGATCTTCTCAAAATTCTATTGTGTTTTTCTCCTTCATCTCTCACGTGCAGTTATATATGAGTTTCTTCATTTTCATTACATTCACGGTTTTATTAATAAAACCCAAATCAATGGTTTATAAAGCAAGGGGACTGGATTTAGCCAATATAGTCCAAAACAAAGTAGTTCGAGATAAAAGATAATCTTAAATAAAGTGTAATTTAGTTTTTTTTTTCTTCCTCTTTTGGGTATATTATATTTGAGTTTCGTTATGATGATTAATTTTTTACTAACACTCTTATGCTACATTTTTTTAACAATTGGTGACAGATGCAACTTTATGAATTTTGCAAAAAATGTCAAGTGCTTGAGATGCGATGTTGTTCCTGAAAGGCATGTGAATCTGAGAGAGGACGGTGAACCTGTTGGGATGAAGAAAGGAGACTGGTTTTGTGCCAAGTAATACTTTGTAATACTTCTCGAGTTCCTCCTTTCTTCTCAATGATACTCTTCTTGTTCTTATTTGATCTTTTGCTGCTTACTTGAAGCCCTTATATATTTAATGACATTTCAGGTGCAATTTCATGAACTTTGCAAGAAACACCAAATGCTTCCAATGTGGTGAGAAACCCCCAAAGAGACAACTTAATCCAGGGGAATGGGAATGTCCATCGTAAGCATCAAGAATTTTCTTGATAACATTATGAGAAGTGGATGCATTACTATATATTACAGAGTTGGGGTACCGCTTGTCCTTGAGACCCATGTGGAGATGAATTGCAGTTCTGCGGGTCCACTCTGAACTACTGTTCATTTTCACTGTCCTTTAGAAGAGATAGTGGATAGCCTGCCTTTGTATGTGTCAGCATACCGATCATGTTCTGTTATACTTCCCATAAGATTCTTATTTTCAGTTCAATGTCTATCCACATGAACTCGTGTGATGCACCCTATAATTTAAAAAGACTAAGTATTTGAGTCGATGACCAGAATAGCATGTAACAGACATTTTTAATCTGGCATATGTCCATTCAGATTTCAAACTCTCTCTCTCTCTCTCTCTCTTAATTTTTGAGTTTCTCTTTTCGCTTCTTCTGTGCAATAGTTATTGTGTAATAACTTCTTGTCAACAACTCATTAAAGATTAGAAGTGCTCAGATTTATTTGGGAGATGAGGTACCCATTAAGTGATCCCTTTTCCCACTATGATTTTTTTCTCATCAATCAGTTGCTTTTGCAGGTGCAACTACATAAATTTTAGGAGGAACATGGTGTGTTTGAAATGTGATTGGAAGCGCCCAAAGACATTGAACTGTGGAGAAAATTCTTTAAGCCCCCAAAACAAGTTTCCAGAATTTCGCCAGGGGTCCAAGAAAACATGGTTTGGCAACAATTGCAAAACAAACAATTATCGCTCTGTTGAGGAAGACAATAATGGTGAAAGCACTGAAGTGAACTTTTGGGATAGTGGGGATGAAGAGAGAGAAATGGCGCACACGAGCAGAAGGGGCAGACTTGAGTTTGAAGATTTTCCAGTCAAAGGGGGCAAGAGTACAATTTCCCAGGAAAGAGAGAGAGATAATAGAGAGAGAGAAAACAGATGGGGCCGTTTGAGCAGTCATGAGAGGTTTGATGTGAGTTACAATGGGTGCAGCAATAGTGATGATGATGATGATGAGATGGCTGGCTGGTTTGGAAAATGACTCTAGTTGATACCATCCTTGTTGTCATTGGACAGAGAGAGCGGGGAGTGACTTCTGTCTCATAAAGAGCAGCTTTGGAATTCCAGTTACATAAAGTGCTGCTCTTGCTGGACGATGGCCAAGGACAATAGAATTTAGTTACATTAAGAACTGACATCGATGAAAGAGTAACCATATGCATCAGAATTTTATTACATGAAAGCTATTGTCAGAATTCTCGATCAGTCACCAAGAGACTTGTCCGGAGGTTTTCGAACCAAATGGGCTTTGTTTGTGTTTATGATTATGTGTTTTTATCGCTGTAAATTATATGAATTTTGTTCGATATAGGTCTGGGAGCCTGACATGGAAAATAGTGATGTTAGTGTAAGTTTGAGCACAAATATTTTCGGGTTTTGCGAGTTTATTGAAGTTGAACTAGGTGGTGGGGATGTTTAACTTCTAACAGGGCTCATGAGATCATGAACATGCATGGATTAATTATATCAAAAGCTTGGAACTATGGTGAGGATGAAAGCTAAATCAATTATATCACATGAAATAGGTAATAATCATTTTTATATCATCCTTTCGACTCTCAATGTTATCATTGTAGATCATTTAACTGCTTTACATTTTTAGCCATGGAATTATGAAATTTGCTCCATTTTATATGAGTGTTTAGCCAGTTTATTGCACAAGCGGTTGTGTTGGTGCATATTTGGACTTGATTTGATCCAATCTCAATTCAACAATTGAAAGTGTATAGGTTTTGGCCATGGTTGATCCTATGTAGGCCGTGAATTTGTTACAAGAATTTGAATTTGAATTTGAATATGGCGGTTGTCCTTTGTTGGCATATTTGCATAACTTACAAAACTTATTACCTTTCGACAGCATATATTGTTCTCTGCGAGAGCATACCGTACATATACTTCCTCAGTCAACAAAATACTTGGCTAGGTTGAATTTTTGTAGTCTAAAACTTTGGGAGCTACATAACAATCGTCAGATGATTATTTTTAAAATAAAAAAAATTTGAGGTTTTGTTAGGCGTATATCTAGCCCTTCAAAAATTGGATGGTTTCAAATTTGGCATTAGATTTATCCATTACACGAGAGTTTAGTTCTAAATCTCTTTTTTTGCTGAGATTATTCTATGGGTTGTAAATATTATATTCTCAAATTTGATATGTAAAAATATTTGTAGCATGTATTTTACCTGACGAAAGAAGTAGATATTAGGGAAATTATCAGAAATATAATTTAATTTTTGTCTAATTAAAAAAACAATCTTTAATTTTTATGAACTTTATTTACACTCTTTTTTTTCAATTTTGATATATTTTTTTTAATCAAAAAAGCCTTCACAATAGTCATATTATTGTAATGACTATTGCATTACAGTACCTTAAGTACCGTAATGACCAGACTAAGCATTACGGTATTTTAAGTACCGTAATGACCATGCTAAGCATTACAGTAACTTAAAGACCGTAATGCTCATTGGGTCTTTTTCTCATTTATTTGTTGTATCGAAGTATTACAGTACTTATCGAAATGTTTAGCTTGGTCATTACGGTACTTAAAGTACTATAATGTTTAGCCTGGTTATTACGGTAGTCATTATGGTAATGCGGCTACCTTAAAGACTATTTTGACCAAAAAAATAACAAAAATTTTTAAAAAAATAAAAAAAAGGTATGAACAAAATTTATGAAAGTTGAAGATTTATTTCAATTATGTCAAAAATTAAGATATATTTCTGATAATTTCCCTAAAATATTATACTCCATAGGGAGGAGGAGATCTTTTAGCTACCTAAAACTTGCTGATCAAATTTTATACTCAATGCGTCCACGCTTTTGCCATGGTTAAGCAATTGAGCATTGGAATAATTGTTCCGAGATATACGTTTCTGCACTAAAAACTGCTATTTTGATCCCCAATGTTTGCATGGAAGAATACCTCTAATTTATATTTCAATAAATGCCTTGGTTCTTGAGAGACCCCTTCTCAAATAATTCTATCTGGAAAACCGTACCAATATATGACACGAGGCCGTACAATGTTGAGTGGCTCCTAATATTCATTATAGGTATTGTTTCCGCAAAGTAACCAATATGAGTAGGATATAGGTATGACAGTGAGAAAATGATGGCTGAATGTGTCCAATGATGCCCACTCCACATCGAGTGAAAGAAAAATATATAATAAAATCATTTATTTTTTATACAAAGAAGTTATAATTATTATTAGATGTGAGGTTAAGTGGTTGAAGGTGTATTATTATTTGGTACAAAGTTAAATACAAATTTTTTAAAAAATTATAATATTATTTTATTAAATTTCACATCCAATAGTAAAAAATGACTGTGATCTTCTCATACAAAAAATAAATAGTCTTTAAAATAAAATCCATTTAACAAAGGGCCATGAGGCAATCATGGGATACAATGCCTTGGATTCCTGATATATAAAACCACCATGAATTCAGCATACGGAACATCACCTTGCATAATTCATGGAATTGGCAAACATAAAAGCCCAACAATATCCTTGGTGTTTGAGCCTCATGCGGGTCTTGATTGGTGCACCCCACATACACAGCATGAACTTCTTTCAAGACTTGAGGGGCCTCTTCATGAGAAAGCAATGTAGCAGGAGACCATCAAAACATCTACAAAATCATTGAGGTACCTTTACCCTCATTTCTTGCCTTCTCAAAGCTTGTCTTTCTTTCTTTATGCTAATATGCCACTACCATGTTGTACAAAATCAACTAACGATTGACGCCTACGATGGACTATTACGTTAACATTCAATAGTGATAGTGATATACTGATATCTGTATCCAAAGGTGAAACAGGGTTTTCAGAATGTTCCCCTACTAAATAATGACAGTAAAATATACCTATCTTGGAGCAGAATTTGAATTGATTAATTTGGTGGGAGAACTATATATGCCTTCAATCTTGCGGATACATCGACTCGTCCATTGAAGGATTGAGGCGCGCGATTGATTGTTACTTTATCAAAAAGTTGTGAAAAAACACTTGCTCTTGCCCCCTGACTTTGGGAAGCTCCATCAAAATGCATGCCTCAAACAGTAATAGGTTTGATCATCAAAACCATTTCATTTATGAGATCCTTATACAGTGGAGATCCATCCAATAAAGGATGTGATGCTACGAAGCCATCCTGCATTTATCCATTGATTGAATTTTGCACGAAATATCTAATATAAAATTTAGATGGTTGCATAACTTGTGAACCACAAATATAAATGGTGAGCACATTTCCTTCATGGGTAAGTAACAGTGCTCTGCTCCCTCCAGCATGGAACTTGTATTTTGCCCCCCCTCATTGCAGTGGGCTAACAATGCTCCCAATGATCAATCAAGAATAAAAATGCTAAAGTTTTTCTTGGTTAGGCTCAGGCCTGCTGGGCTATTACAACTTTACAAGCTAGGCCCGAACCCATCGTAATGCCTCTGTTGAGGCCAGAGCCCAGCCTGGCCTGGCCTTAGCTAATGAACTGTTTACATTTCAATTTGATGATTTTTTATAGGTGTTCTCGGCTATAAAATGTGCCGGAGAAATTAGAGAAGTTTGCAATATATCCTCTCACATTCCATAAACTTAGAGCGGAAGAACCAAGTTCCACCTTCTATGTTTGTTGCGGAACCATGTAAGTCACAAAATGGTAAGAGCAACAATTTACATTTAATGTTGTTTTGGGGTAGGGTCGTCATGGTAGCACCCCACTTCGTGGTTTCTATTCCCACCACTAACACCACCCCGTTAATATGTTAAAAAAGATAACTTCTAATCTACTTGAAAAATCAGATAGGAGCCTATCTTCCTCACTGAATTATCACAAAAAAAAAAAAATTGTTATTTTGCCCTTTTTAGGAAGGGACGGTTTCCATGCTATGGTAGCCCCTCTTTCAGGTATCAAACATGCCCTAAAAGTAAAAAAAAATGGTATGCCACTAGTGCCTCAAATCAACGGCAACTCTTATAAGCAATTTAGACCGCTTCAATAGAGGTAGATGGATTAGATTTAGGGATTTTCTGGAGCTCCAAACCAAATTAAACTTAAAACCAACAACTTATGAGAAGACCATTATCATAAAATCAAATAACTCTAAAGGAGTATGCAAATTTTTTTAAGTGTTCCCCACACTTAAAATGTGGTTTGTCAAGTCCTTTTATTTCCCATTTTTTATTTCCCAAAAAAATTTTCAGTCACACATGAGCATACTGTCTTTTTACTCTCCGGTAAAACCCAATCTAGGAGGCAAACTCTTCAACCATAGACTAACTTCAAAAAAAAAAAACAAAAAATCCCAATAGTACGATCTATGCATTTAAAAAAAAAAGAGAGGGAAAATTGCAAACCCCCCCCCGTAATGACTCAACCTACCACTCTCACTCACACTCACACACACTCACTCACTCACACTCACTCTCTACTCTACTCTACTACTCACTCACACTCAC